AGCGTATGTAGCTACTTGTACTAGCGTATTTAGCTACTTGTACTAGCGTATTTACCTACTTATAGTAGCAACCTCCAAACACCTGAAGTCAGACCTGATGTTCTCGTCACTGTTTTCAATCCTTCTGAGGATCCGGCGTCTCTTCTCCGGTGGTTTATTGTCGTCCAGACACAAAGTAGGACGCAGGTTTTCCTCCGTCGGCTGTTTGTCAACAAAGTGAAATGAGCTCACATGCAGAGTTTGGGTGTTCTCTTCAAGTTCACGTTGTTCAGACACGTTCTTCTTTATTCCTCATCTGTAGGTAGGAGATGGAACTATAGCTCTTTTCACTGGAACTCTTTTTGTTGTGGGTCCATGTTCAAACTGTTGTTGGAGCCGCTGTTTTAGTTTGGTCTGTTTGTTCTGCAGCCCTGAACACAACAGGTACCTGAACGCAGCACGGCTCTTTTAGTAAACTTTATGGTTGTTAAATTAATGTGAACAAAACAAACACAGTTTTATCTGCTGAACAGAATGTAAATTACTTTCAAATACACCGCGGTCCGTGCTCCGCCACCATGGTTACCCAATGCCGACTGCTACTTCCTGTCTGACAGGAAGTTGTACCAGAATCATTTCGACAGCAGAGCCTCCAGGAATGAGGTGGACACACGAGATATTTTAACACCATGACAGAAGTCTTCACATCCAAACCTGGTTTGAGGTTTTCTCTTCGAAATGAAGTCAAGTCCTCGTTAGAGTAAAACCAGGATTCAGAGGCGTTCCTCAGGGTTTTCCAGGTGGTTTGGTTTCATGTTTGGTGGCTCTTTGACTCCATGTTGCTCCTCTTCTCTTCAGATGTTTCCTCCGTCTCACGTCCCTCAGAAGACAAAGTACGGGTGCTTCCTTCACCGCCTGCCGGGACCAGCGGAGACGCCGGACGCCTTGGTGTTCCACGAAGCGTCCTCAGGTTCCCACATCCAGCACCACCAGCACTCGGGTCGTTTCCTCTCCCTTCATGAACTGAACCGTCGAGCGTGATGCAGGTCTCGCAGCCGGGACCTCGCAGACCCAAGACCTCCTTCAAACATGGCGTTGTGTAGAACCTGTAGTGGGAGCAGAACTTCCTGTGATTCGTGCTTGGTGTTCTGTTGGAGATGGCTGCAGCCTCATGACCCGCTCACGTTTTATTTTCTTAAACAAAAGCTGCGACGAGACGTTTTAATGAATTTTATTAGAATCGACTTTAAAACTCTGCATCGACCTGAGCCCGGTTAGAACTCCTCGTGTCGGACCGGATCAACCCGTGATGTTTTTATTGTACTTCTGGATTCACTGAAGTCTCTGAGGTTGGATCAGTTCCAACTTCACCGTGCTCGCGCTGCGTACCTTTCAGATTAAGAGCGGTGCGTTGCACACGGTGGATCAGCGGTTGCTGCTCCTCTTGATTTCTTTACCCGGCTTCATGAGGATCCACCGAGGTTGCCCCCTGGTCCGACGCGTCAGCGTTCTTCTTCTGTTCTGGAGGAAAACGGAGGCTAGCCGTCCTCAGACGTTCGTATTCAGCAGATTTTATCGTGCGATTCGTTCGTAGTTTGAGTTTTAACGTTTTATTTCTGTGAAGGTCTTGAACGTGGTTTTGAGCCGACGCTAACCTGAACGTGACAAAGAGTTTTGGAGCATCTTAAAAGCCCAAACTCTTTGTTGTGCAGTTTCCTGCTTCTAAAAAATTATAATAATTTTGTCTTGAAGTTCAAAATGTTCTGTTTTATTTTTTACCATAAGTTCAACTTTAGATTTAGTTTAAATCCGATAGAAGTTTAACTCTTTACACACATTCAGCTCTGAAGCTTTACAGCAACATTTATTAGTTTCTGACTCTTTAAAATGACTTTAGTAACATTTAATGTTTTATTTGTTAACGTGAGTGAAACTCGGGATGAACCCGGTAAAGAAACGCTTCAGTTTGGGATTAAAACCAAACAAGTCGTCCTGGACCGACTCTGTACGACTCTTCGTCACTGCTTTGGTTCCTCTGGAGTTCTTCAGAGGAAATAAACGTTTTCTCGGATCAGAGGCGGCGACTTTATGTTTTTATTCGCCCGGCGGCGGCGGACGTGTTGTGATAGTCTCCGTACGTACTCTCTCTTTTACAGGCCAGAACTTCTGATCCACTCAAGATAAAACTTCATCCACGTCATCACTGCACGTAGTGTTACGTACATTTTCATACAAGCACACGTCAAGGTCACAAATCAAGGTCAAAGATAAAAACAGGTCTGTGCTTGCCCCGCCCATAATTCTGATCTGCTCAAGATAACTTCTCAAAACTTCATACGGATTTGTAACACCGCTGGACGGCGTGTTGCGTCATCGTTTCATCACCCAACTTCAAGGTCAAGGTCACTGATCACATGCTGTGATTCCCATACACTTATACAAGGAGGGGGCCCGGCCCTGTTAACAGAGCCGAGGGCCCCGCCCTGTGGACGGAGCATAGGGCCACGCCCCTTCGACAGAGCTGAGGGCCACGCCCTGTGGACAGAGCACATTCTAGTATCAAGCGTGCATGTTGTGTGTACAGTGTAACTGTACTTCCTTACTGACTGGATACGGTGGCGTTATATAATTCATTAGGAATAAGTGACGTACGCACGTACCGTAGACCACGGTGCACTTCCTGTCTACTCTGAATGTCACTGCCCGCCACCTCAGACGATGCGTTCTGAGAATTTGATGCGAATGAAACATCTCCCAGAATTTCAGGATTTACTCAGAGAAAACTGAATCAAGGTCAAAGGTTATACAAGGTCACTGCCGCACAACGTGCCGCCGTACGTGGCACTCTTGTTAAAGATCTCAGAGTACGTGTTGGGGATGACCCTCAGCTGCTGCCATGTGGTCAGTACCTGTAAAACAGACCGACTTCCTGTTCCTGTTGGGTACGGTTCATTGCCTGTGGTGGCCATCTTGAAACAGGACCCAACACTTTCTGACAACTTCATTAAAACTCAGTATATTTTGCCAACACAGACTGACAGAACCTGAGTCCACTGACTGTGCCCTGGTCAGTAGATCAGTGTTTGGACCTGCCTTTGTGGTTCTGCTGAGGTCAGTCATGTGTCAGGTGAAGCCACGGGCGCTCATGGATCCAGGATTTTCTCTGCATGAATGGGATAAAGAGCCCCGGCACGAGCGGCCGACAACGCCCGGTTAGACACGTGGAGCCTCGTGACCTCAGGTGGAGGTTTGTAAAACCGACAGCTGTGAAAACAGCTTCATGCTCAAGTTTGAACGTAAACAACTGTTTTAAAGAAGTTTAACAGAAGATCCTGATGCTGATGGGACGTTAAATAAACCAGCAGCAAATACAACAATCCCAGAAGAGAAGTCGACCAGAGGAGACGCTGCATTCACACCGTGTTCCCAAATACCTGCACGGTCGGCTCATTCAGGAGCCGAGTGCTGTCACTTCGGCTTTTTTTAACATTCACACTTTTCAACAACTTCCATTCGTATTCCAGGATGGATGAATTGTAGGATGGATGGATGGATGGATGGATGGATGCATGCATGGATGGATGGATGGATGGATGCAGTGATGGATGGATGCAGTAATGGATGGATGGATGAATGGATGGAGTGATGAATGGATGCAATGATGGAGTGATGGATGGATGGATGGATACAGTGATGGATGGAGTGATGG